TACAAGTCTTGATTTCATAGTAAGTGTTTCTCTAAGTTGTAATCATTGCAGTAAAGAACTTGTTGAATATCAACCAACAGAAGTTAGTGTGTTCAGGCATGAGATACAATTGTCTGGGACAGTTTGCAGGAGCAGCTATGACCCTCCTTCACCCTTTCCCCTAAAAAGTGTGGTTGATCACCTTTGCCATCCTTCCTACCTGACAGAGCTCTGCACTCACGCACTGAATAGTCCTGGCCCCGGACCACTCGTTACAGCCTCTCGTTGCTGCCTGTGTCATGTTTTCATGGCACTTCCCCCACTGCTAACTGGGATTCCCAGCCATAACCTCACCAGCTAGTCCCTCCTCCATCCTTGACAGGGAGGCAGAAAGAAAGTCTTTATCTGAATGAAGCAAGATTCTTCCTTGGCTATGTCTCTGTTAGAAGAATGAATATTTGCAACTAAAATAGGAGTTTAAAAATATCACTGAAATAAATCTGTTTAGATGACAAGAACCACTCATCTGCTATGGAAAGCTGTGGGTTCATGTCCCCTCCTGGATTCTCAGATTGCACTGTTATCCCAGATATATTGTCTTCTTCAACATCCATGCTTCCCAACCTTAAGGTAGATAAGCGTGAGCAAAGCTTCCTTGGAATATTGTTTATTCAAACAGTTGGCTGCTAAATTTTTTAATCAGTTGATACTGTAGAAAAACACCTTTTCATTTCTGAACTCTATTTCTGAGTAAACGTATTTGGTCGGAGACCTGTCGCCAGCAGGGCAGTGCAGGGCTGATTTTCACAGCACCCTTCTCGTCCCGAGCTGTGGTGCCGCCGTTCCCTCTGCCCAGCTCCCGCAGGAGGACATTCCATGGGAATGAGAAATTAAAAGGACATTTTGATTTATGAGTGACAGTGTATTTACTGTGGTAGCACTGCATTATAGTATGCGTTTTAACACCCACTCATAAATAGAATTATTTCCTTTAACAAGTATGTGTTGTGCTCGAGGCAGTGTATTTTCATGTAACACCTAAAGACGGTTGTCATATAAACATTTGCCCCACGGGTTTGCTGTCATTACCCAAGTTACTGGGTTTGCTTCATGTACTTGGGAGTTTCGGTGATCGCACCAGGCCTGCCTGTTCACTGCAACAGCACCATCCAGTGCCCACATTCCTCTCCATAATCCATTTATTCTGAAAGAGGTGATGAGAAGTTTATGTCTAGAACTTAAATGCTTTGTTGAAGAATAGGATCAAGACCCAGGCACAGTGGCATTTTTCCACATTTTCAGCCCCGTCTAGAGATAAAAAGGCTCCGTCCTCTTCTCTTTCTCCCACACACACACATCTCCCTGCTGGCTCTTCTCCCACTGCTGGCTTTTGACCTAGATGTCCACTAGCAAACATAATTATGCTTAGTTTAACTGGTTCCCAGGAAGATGAAAATCAACAGGCGTTTTATTTGCACGTGAATCATCACAGTGCATCCATGGCTTAAATAAAAGGTAACGGTTGACATTAATTTGTAGTCAGCCACCTTACTTCTTTCTCTCCTGCTTCCTAAAGGCTCGTACAGGACTTGTGCAGGAACTCTGGAGTTGGGGGGTTGGGGGGGGCGGGGACCAGCACTGATGTTCCCTTCATGCCACATTTCTGTCCGCGGTTTAGTACGCACACAACTGTCAGTTTAAAGGGAGAGGAGTTTTCCCCTCACTGTGTTGCTTCTCACATCTTTTGTTCCATCCTTCCTGTTTGCTGCTAATTCATTTAGCACGCCTGTTTTATTGTCTCTCCTTGCCAACACAGTAGTAGTAGTAGTAGTAGTAGTAGTAGTAGTAGTAGTAGTAGAGTCATAACTACCTTTTTCAGGATACTGCCTCTGAAATCTCACTCCCTTTCATAACTCAAGAGTAGTCTTTTTTCTGCCAACAGGCATAAAGCATCTGTCTTAAACTCGTGGCATCTAATTAGAATCATCTCTTTACTGGACTGCCTCCCCACTTGTGTGTTAGCACCTTCTGAGTGTGCTCTGTGATGGGACAGTCACTGGCATGTAGAAGGTACTTACTGTTGGGTGAACTGAGTGAATGGAGCCAGCCTGCCTGCCCGTATCTTACATTGTTTCTCCAACTCAAAAAGTTCAGTCCAGGTGTCAGCAGCATGGGCCTGAGTGGTGCTGAGTTAGTGAGTCAGAATAGCTTAATCCCAATGTTCCTTAAGATGCCAAATTTATAAATGCTTGACAAAATTTATATTTATATTTATATCTACGTGATTTATTTACATGTGAATCATCACAGTGCATCCATGGCTGAGATACAAGGTAAAGGTTGAAACTAATTTGTATTTTCATATTAATTTTATTTTATAAATGAAGTTTGATCCTAGAAACTTTAGTTTATAATATAAAGTGTACACTCTCTTTTCCTATTGCAGAACATAACTGAACAGGAGCCATGCTTAGACAACAATACATATTTAAAGCATAGTTTTAAATACCTACTTTTTTAAGTCTACAGTACTCTTTAAGAGGAACAGTTGTCTATGGTTATGCTACTTATTCTAAAGAGTCTTTTCTAGAGTCTGCAATTATTACGAAGCTCACATTTTCCAGTATTTCACAATTACATCTGTCTTATTTAGCACACCCTAAAACGGTTATGTAGCTTTTTATAAAAAGCTAATTTTATCTTCTGCAGCCTGCCTTGACAGCGTACCTTTCTATTGATTGAAATTCTAAATCTGTGCTGAGGAATAGAATTTCAAATATACATTTGTTAACGAAGATAACAGAACATCAAAATGTGTTTAACTTAAACGTATTGAAGCATTCTAAACTTAACATTTGGTCAGCTGTTCCATCGGCCTGGCCCTGTCTATTGTGGTTTAAGAAGATTGTTTGTAGATGATGACTCAAAGCAGAGACCTTTATTTAGATGTCTTCACTCTCTCATCCTTTCCATTCCCAAGTGTCCAAATTCAGGGCACAGGGCGGGGTCAGACCTCACAGCCAACATGGAAGAGTCCTGTCTTTCCTAGTTTTTAATAATTATACTTTTGTAACTGTATATTTCAGAAATGTAGCAGTGGGGCCTGAAGCTATAACTGTACTGATATCCTCTGAAAGCTTTAAAACTTTTGCTTTGGGGAATAAAACCAAAAAATAAAAATAAAAGATGAAATACAGAGATTTTTCTCAGTGTCGTGGAACAAAATAAAATTATCCTCTCTTACAATAAATGGCAGTTAGGGAAAGCAATTTCTCCTGTCATGGTTAAAAGCTAGGAACACAAAATCAGCATTTGAAATGATAACCCACAGTGTTTTAAATAAAGACACTAAAATGCATTGTACATTATCTGTTTCAAAGGATGATTGCATATGCTTGTTATTGAGTCCTGCAAAAAATACAGAATGTACTTGGCAGGTGGAACTATAAAAACCAGGGATGAAAAAAGACATATTAGGTCGAATTTTAAAGTTTTCTTTTCTGAGGGGGCTCTATTTCTGGTTACTTAATTTAGTCTGCTCAGCCTTTTATGTATTTGTTCATAGCCACAGGCATGCAAAAGAAAATAAATCTTTGGTATTTGAAGCAATAATGAAGATTAAAGGTCCCTAAACCTCTGCAGTTTTATCTCATTCAATGGAAAAAGCATAGATTAAAAATTAAAGTTTCTTCCGAAGCCCATCCTTGATACTTCATAGCCTTGTATCCTGAGCAAGTCACTGAATTTTTCTGAGCTTGTTTCTTCACTTGTACAGCAACGTCAAATGCCTGCTTTATTTAAGTCACGGGACTGTGCTGAGGATGAGAGGAGTCAAAATAGGCTTCATGTAAAGTGTTTTACAAGTTCCAGGTAGGTCCTGCTATAATTCCCATTTTGCAGATTGGAGAAAGGCTGAGAGAGGCTAACAAACTTGTGGAAGGTCACCCAGCTAGTAAATGTGAGAGCTAATACTAAAGTCCTATGTCTAAATTACAGCATTTTCCAACATTGGCACTATTGATTGGGGGGAGGGGGGCATGACTGATAATTTGTTCTTGGAGGTGAGGGGTGCCCTGTGCATTAGTGGATGTGTAGCAGCATTCCTATCTTCTATCCCCTAGATGCCAATAGCATCCCATAAGTTGTGACAATCAAAAATGTGTTCAGACCTTGCCACATGTCACCTGGCAGGCAAAATCACCCAACATTGAGAAGCACTGGTCTGTGTGATTCCAGAGCTAAAGTTCTTAACCACTTTTATGATGACACTAGTGCCCTAGTGCACATTAAAAGGAAATTAATTAGAAGAAATATTTTAATATCACTGTTCGCCCTTTCTTTATAATAGAAGTGTCAACCAAATTCATGATCGACAATGACAGACGAAACACATGCATGTGATTGGCACCAGCAAGAGCTTTATATGTATCACTCGTGCGCCAGTCAACGTTTATTTTTGAATTGCCAGTGCGCATCATATGTACTGGCTGGTAGGTCGGTTGGTTGGATGGACAGATGGATGGTCGGTCACGTAGCCTTTTATATATATAGGTTTATCAATGTCATTGTTATTCTGAGTAGTTCCTGATTAGAATACTTCATAACAGCAATTTTCAGAATTAAAAATGAAATAACTAGTTTCATTCCTCATCGGGCTGGCATTGTCTTCTTTTGTAAGGCCTTTGTAAACTTCTTGTAGGCACACCATCTACAGCAAGCCAGAAGTCGGACTCAACAGCCCCTAAATTCCCTTGCCCTGTAATTCTGTGATCATTCCCTAAGGTTCCCAGCTGGTCTCTCTTGAACAGCCCCTTCTCATCTGAAATGTTTATGGACTCCTAATATCAGTTATCATCTGAGAAGCCAGAGAGAGAAACACATGCATTTTCATAACTATTACCTCATTTAATTTTCACAATAAGCCATTGAGGTTTGTAACAGCTGTTCGTGTTTACATTTTGTTTAAGAATCTTAACCTTTCTTCTTTGCCTGCTCCTTCAACTTTGGTGTTCTCATTGCAGAACTTGATATAGAGACTCAGCAGGAAGTTGATATGGAAACTCAGCAGGTGCCTTTCTTACCAGCACTGCATGAAGAGGAACATCCTTCTGAATTACTCAACATAAAGCAGATGCTTTCTGCCCTGCATGATTCTTTTCCCTTCCACCTAACAAGCGTCATTAAATGCATGCCTCCTCTGGCTGTGTTCGGGGACTTAAGAACCACTAAGAGTGGAGTGCTGTTACTTCTGTTGCTTACTCTTTCCCCCCAGAAAGGCCTAGGTTGACCTTCTCAACTGTCCCATACTTCCTGGTCTTTATCTCTGATCTACATCCCATCTCTGCCTGATATTGGCACAGTCCCCAATTTATTATCACCCCTGAACCAAAACTTTCTAAACAATTATGATTGACTTTATGATGTTTGTTTCTGTGTTATTTAAAATGATTGTGAAATTAGATGCATTTGATCTGGGCCTTATTAAATAGTCAGAACATGTCTTGTGCCTATGCCTGTATGAATTAAAAAATTTTAAAACACTGAGTTTTAGGATTGATCGCTGCTGATGATTGAGTGTGGTTAAAAGCATTGGCATGACCTGAGGAGAAGCTGGTATAGTTGCCAAGAGTGACAAGGAGCTGGACTTGCCCAGGGATCTTTAGGACGCAGAATTCTGCTTATGGGAGTTCTGAGCAGTTATTTGAACCAATGGGAAAGAGACCTGGGTTACTTCACAGCAATACAACTTTAGTGTCAATTAAAACTTTTATTTTTTTCTTTAAAGTGTATGCGAATCATTTAAATTACTCTATGATTCATTTTAGAAGGACTAATTGGCTCCTTCTGTAAAATGGTAATGTCTGGCCAAAGAATCTTTTTAGATCAACATGCGTCCTTATTGACCACACTTACCCAGCCATTTCATCATGTTAGATAAGTAAAGCGCTGGGGGGTTTTCTTCCTTTTCCAGGTGGCCTTTTTGAAGATGTAACCGTGGGAGCCGAAGTCTTCCTCTGCACAGCACGGAGCGCATGGGAGGCCGGCAGTCAGCCCAGGGAGCAGTGATTACAGACAAGAGCCCGAGCCCTGCAGTGGAGTTTGAGTTTTACCTGTATATATTCTCTAAACTTCAACTCTGTGAAAGACCAAGGTGGTGAAGGAAGTCACCGTAGCAGGTTGAGTTAAGTGTAGAAGTTCAGTCCCTGTTTCCACAGAGAAGAACATTCAAATGTGTGCTGTGTCAGACCACCGGGAAGGCTGCGAGCTAGCGGAGACCCGGCTGTCCAGAGTGGAATGCAGAGGGACTTTGCTGCTGGAATTGTGTTAACTGCCATAAATCTTTGGAAATAAACTTTCAAAGAACTTCTCAGGTTCCTTTAAAACAATTTTTTTAAAATGAAAATATTGAATTTTGCATACCTTATTTAGAGGAGATGCTCAATAAATAAATGTTTGTTGAATAAATGATTATCAAATTAAAGGTTTTCCCACTTATGCAAACCTGCCTGTATTCCCTTTGTTCTTTATTTCCTTTACCAATATTATTGCAAATCAGTATATAGACCTCACTGGCATCCTGGTACAGAGCTGTCAAAACCCTTGTGTGCCCACGCAGGTGGTGAAGAGGTCATTGAATGAGAATGATAGAGCGAGCGCAGCCAGCTCCTGAGTTTACAGCAAAGGTTGGAGACTTGCCTGTTCTCACGAAGTAGGAGCGAAGCCCGGACCAGAGCCAGCTCCTCCTTTCCCACTCCCCCTTCAGGAGGACGGGCTCTGGGTCTGCAGCTATACTTGCAGCTTATCGAGCCGATTAGCCTTCATACCAACCCACAGACCACCAGTACCTTTTATTTGAAAACCCTGAGTTTTCTGTCCCCTAATTTCCTAACTTAACACAGGAGTCACTGGCACTGTGATTTGGTGAAACTTTCATGACTTCTTCTTCCTTGCAGTTTAACCAAAACATGTGTCCTGCCAGTAATCAGTGGTCTAGCACTCAAATCCATCACTGGTGGGCTAACATAGAAACAAAACTCATCAGTTTAATCTGATGGAGTCATTTTTTAAGCACAGTTTGAAACATTGAAGTTCCTAATAATGTATCCAAGACTCCTAGCCATAAAGGAGAATTTGTTTGGCTTCACTTAGGCTACTAAACTCCCCAAACCCCATGCTGACTTTTTATGCTTTAGATTGTTCTCTGTCCTCTGTTGGTAGAGAGCAAGATTTCTCAGCCTGGGCTCTAGGTACATTTTGGACCACATAATTCTTTTATTTTTATTTTTTTTAGTGTTGCTTTCTTTTTTTTAAAATTTATCTTTACTATTGAAAGTATTACAGATGTCCCCCGTTTTTCCCCCTTGACCTGCTCCCTCCCAGTCCTCATCCCTCCCCCCTCCAGACCTTCACTATTGTCTGTGTTCATGGGTTATGCATATCCTATTTAATAAAAGGCCAATATGCAAATTGACCAAACGACAGAACGTTATGTTGCTATGACATGCACTGACCACCGGGGGGCAGACGCTCAACACAGAAACTGCCCGCTGGTGGTCAGTGCACTCCCACAGTGGGAGTGCTGCTAGGCCAGAAGTTGGGCTCATGGCTGGTGAGTGCAGAAGTGGTGGCGGGAGCCTCTCCCGCCTTCATGGCAGTGCTAAGGAGCAGTGAGCTGAGCAAGGAGCAGCAGGCAGGCGGGCAGTAAGGAGCAAGGAGTCCCGGACTGCAAGAGGGCACAGGCCAGCCTGAGGGACAAACGCCCCCCAACTCCAGTGCACAAATTTTGTGCACTAGGCCTCTAGTATGCATATAAGTTCATTGGTTAATGGGCCAGATAATTCTTTGTTGTGGGAGACTGTCCTGTGCTGTTGGGAAAAAATGTTTTTTTGCCCTATACCCTCCTAGGTTCAATGGCTGGAGCTTACAACTCAAACTGATAAAAAGACAAATTAACAGAAAAAGAAAGTTTAATTACATACATCTGCACAGGAGTTTCAAAAGAAATGAGGCTCTAGGAAGTGACTAGAGGATTCAGGTTTATATACCATCATAGGCTAAACAAAGAAAAAGGAGGTTTGAGCTCCTAGGCAGGGAGAAGCAAGTCGTAGGAGGGTGAGAGGAGGAGATGTTGGTTACTGAGGGTTGTCTTGTAGTGCAGGTGAGGGTTTCTCAGATGATGAGAGTTGTCTCCAGAAGTAGCTCTCTTCCTGGTGCAGAGTGGTCTTTACAAATGGAAATTTCCTGTATAAATGTAAATATACTTTACAAAAGGGGAAATTCATACTTTGTTTTTTGGCTGTTAGGGGAGGTAAAAAGCTTTTCCTGCTTCTGCTGGTTCTCAGTTCTTTAGCTCAAAATAATGCTTATGCCAATTAATGCTTATGGCATATTTTGGGGTGACATTCGAGTCCCCTTCAGTGCATTGGAGGATGTTTAGCAGGAGCCCCCTCCACAAGCTGTGACAACAAAAAGTGTCTGCAAACATTGCCCTTCGTGGCGAAATCAAGCCAGTTGAGAAACACTGCTATAGCAGATATGTCAGAAATAAGATTTAGTGACTTGATGGGGTTCAGGGAAGGCTACGAGCTAGTGGAATTTCAATTTTTTAACATGACCTTTTCTCCTTTCCTTTTGATTCAAACTGGCCTCATCCCAGCACCCTGTCTCACCTGCCTCCTCCCTTGCAGGACCACCTCCTTAATCAGTAAGCCTTCGTAGGAAGGAAGCCTCCGGTCTGTTTTCCTCAGAGACAGTTTCAGTCAAACTAGAGATAACATCTAGGCCTCGGCTGTGTTTCTGCTCCAGGCCCAGAAAAGCAGTGAAGCCATGGTGATGCCATGGCTGACAACAGGATCAGGTGCACTGATCAACTATCCCGTACCCTAGCCTTGACCAATCAGTAGAGACCACTGCCCTAACTCCCTTAGTCACCATGATTAATGATGACTATATAACCCATCCCCTGGAAGCCAGGTCTTTGAGCATTAGCTCACCGGGCTCCGGCTTGGGCCACTTCCTAAAAATAAACCCTCACTTTCTTTGCTGCAAACTCCTGTTTGTGCCTTATTGGGCTTTGATGCACACAGGCAAATGGACCTCCTTTAGTCCAGTAACAATATGCCATTTGGCATATTTCTGTTTTGAGTTAAAGTTACTTAAGAAGTGGGCAGTGCAAGAAGGGCATTCTGACCCTCCTTTGTTCTCCTGAAATAAGTCTCCCATGTGAAAGGTCTGCTCCCTGTACCAGGATGTGGAAAGACATCCTTATCACCAGAGAGAGGGAATTCTGGACCAAAAACCCTGCCTAAACAAACCTTGTTGCTTTTTTTTCTAATTTGCTATCCCAAGCACAAACCTTTGTCTTGTCAGTTCTTCACAAATATATTGTTTCTTTGTCTAAAAGGTATAAAAGCTGCCTGGCTTTGGTTACTTCTTTGAGTCTCATATTTCTATGTGCTCCCATACATATAAATTTAAATGTTTGTGGGGTTTTTTTTTCTTTTGTTAGTATCTTACATCATTTTAATTGTTGGGTGAGCCAAAGAGCCTAGTAGGGGGAAAAATGTTTTCCTCCCCACCAATTTCCTATAGTTGTGTATTGCCAATGGTGCAGCCATTACAAAATTTGAGACATTTTCTAGCATGTGGCCAGGTTTAAGTATACTATTGTTTTCACAAATGAATGCTGATGAATAACTTTGTGTGTGAATATTTTTTAAGAGTTCAGTTTGTATTGATCTAATGTTGGAGACTGGAATAAATTAGATGAAGCAGAGTTCAGCCAGTGCATAAAATATAATGTTATTCTGAGACAGTTTTTCTCTCTCTAGAAAAGAAAGACGTCATTGCCATACTAATATTTGCCTACACTTTAGATGGTGCAGGTGCTCATGATTCAAAAGATAACCCTACCACTCAGCCCAACTGGAAGAATATTCGAATTTCCTAACCTTGTCTCTCTAAGTAGAGTCTAATGCAGTTAGACCCCCTTAGCTATGTCTGGGGTCTTAGGAAGAACAAGCCAATGAGAGTTAAGTCCAGCTCTCTTTTTATTCTTTTTTTTTTTTTTAAGTATTGATTTGATAGAGAGAAGGAGAAAGAGATAGAAACATCGAGGAGAGAGAAACATCAACATTGATCTGCTGCCTCCTGCAGACACCTCTACAGGGAACTGAGCCCACACTCAACCACTGAGCCACACTGGCCAGGCAGTCCAGCTGCTTTCTAATGGCACAGATGAAGTGGTTGTGAGAAGCTCTGAGGGAGGGTCAGGAGTAGGAGGAGCTCACATACACAGGACAGATTTCTGACTACAGAATGCAGTTACTATGTGTGAAATTGTATGTAACATGCACTTAGAATCTTGTCATGGTGACGTTCTCAAGCTCAGCAGGCCTTTATTGGTTCTAAGCCAGTCTCAGAGTGAGCTGTTAACATCTAGTATCTAGTCACTGGGGTAGAGAGGTTACATGAGGGTAACATGTCTGAACCCGTGAGAGTCTACTTAATGGCCACAGGGAATGGGGAAAGAGGGGAAATGGAACCCTTTCTATTTTTTGTCTAAGTAAAGAGAAAATTGCTCTCGCTCCCTCTCTTTCTCTTTGCCTTCCTTCACCAAGAGAGCAACGTGGAGACAGAGATATCCAGCATTAAAAATATTTAAATTTAGTTAAACCACGTTAGGAGGGCTAGAGAGAATAAACAGGCAGTGCAATCAATGTTGGCCCTTGGAAGTCAATCTACATTAGCTTCCTGTGTTTTGTGAGTATAATTCCAGAATCTATTCAGTAACATTCCTAGATAATGGTACCACAGAATTTGGATATACCATTAGAGGCTATCAAGGATGAGAGGCATAGCAAAACACCACCAAATCCATTTTTTATATCTCTAAAAACTTAAATCCAATTAAATTAAATAAGTGGTTAGTTAGTTATTAACTCACTATGTCACTGAAATAAGTGG